CCTCCGTGAATATAGTCGGGTCCTTCTTATGGGGCAGGCTCTGTGCTAGATGCGGGGCTGCACTGCTTTCATTTCATTGACTCGCAAAATCCATGAGTCTAAGCTCTTCCTGTCCCCACACCCAACTCCTTGTCATATTCCCCGAACCTCCCCTCCCCCTCCTGGACCCTCCCAATTCTGCCACTTATTCAGATGGAAATAAGAGAAAACCTCTAAGCTGATCAATCCCCACATGTGTGTACATGCCCACTCATACCAAACCCCACACTCCCACTGAGTACATATAAAATCTCCTGGGAGTCCCTAAGTTTTGACTTAAGAAAATTAAACTGGTTACCTACAACAGCTTTTCTGGTCTCTGAGGACCAATATGTTATTGTAAGGCCAGAGCTGGTTGGGGACTCAGGAATGAGGAACCCGCCTGGATCCGGGTTTTGACTACTGTTCTGGCATTCACATTCACAGGGCATGGGTGAGAGCAGGGAAGTCCCTCACTGGTTGCCAAACTCAAAGTCCTAATCAGAGTTCCTCTATAAAGTCCATAGAGGAACAGCTGCGTCAGGGTCCGACCAGTTGTGGTGGAATGGAAGCAATGGAGGAGGTGACAAATAGCCCTCGGACAGGCAGATTCCAGTGAGGCTCAGGTTGCTGAGACCAGGCCAGAGAATGACCTCTCACCACTGTGGCTCAGCAGGGAGCACACTGCTGGGCAAACAGGGAGGATGGCAAATGCCAGGTGAACTCAAACCGCAAATGAGCACACCTCTTTTCATTCCTATAAAGGACACGACTCAAAAATACAAAAAGCGAGATTTCTGTTGATCTCCAGGAGTCAGAGCTGCTGGACGCTAAAACCAGTGTCGGGTCCTCATGGCACCTGGGGGCTCTGTCTTGTTCTATCCCCACCCCCTTCAGCTGAGGGCTCCCAGGGGCCTCAGCAGCCTCTAGTGGCACATCCAAGTGCCCAGCTGTGGGTTCTGAGCTCCTCCCAGGCTGCCTGGCAGTTGTCTTCCGTCCTCTGAGAACAGCTAGGCCCTCCATCCACACTGCAAGACCCAGTCAACTTCACTTCCCAGCCCCAGGTTGGAGGAGTTGGTGTCACTCAAGTGAGCACTCCATCTGATCAGGCCCAGTCTGGAACACGGACAGACAGATGCTGGCCCACTGAATTCCATCCCGGACGCCGGCAATGATTTTACTCTGGGACTGAGAACCACCAAGCTGTATTATGCCTCTGCTGGTCTCTACAGCTCAAAAATATACCTGACATGTGTCTAATAAACCTGTTTCTGACTGTCTAGGGTTGTGCTGGGGTTGGTGTTTGGGCTGGGTCCATTTGGAGCACACGGGGTGGGGGACATGTGTTGGTGTGGAGAGCTCAGCATCTGCTTGGGGTGAAGGGCTGACAATAGTCAGAAAACACTTGGTCCATAAACCATGGAAGATGGTCATTAAGAACACCATCCAGCAGACTGGGTTCCAGTCCCCTGACCTGCTTACTAGCTCAGTCGGCTCCCAGGACCCTCAGTCAGGTTCCTATGGTTGTGCCTCAGAGCTTCTGGGGAGCACTTCGGCTCAGCTCAGGGGTTTGGTTCCTGATTCCTCCCCTTTAGACCTAAAGCAAAAGCAGCCCACTGTCCCTGGCCATTGCAGAGCTTCCCCAAGCCTGGTTAGCTGAGCACAAGTCCATGCATTACCCTGTCAGCCTTCCTACTAACAAATCAACTAGGGACCTTCAACACTCGTGCCTAAACATAAACCTGCAGAGCCCATCACTATGATTTAAAGCTGAATTAAAAGTTGGACCAAGATTTAAAGAATAAACCTCTGACTACAAGCTAGTACCTTTCTAACTGCTCTCCATCACTGCTTAATCTAATTTCCACCCCCCATCCCCACATCCATGCCATCTGCAGGAGGAGCCAGGGTCAAAGCCCTCCTTTTGCCAATGGTGTGCTGATGCCTGCTGGGACAGGTCCCACCCCCAGCCCAGACCCTCTGCCTAGCGTGCTGGGTGCCAGGAGTCGGTGCTTGGATGCTGGCCCTTTAGGTGACTCTGCCCAGCCAGGATGGGCAAGGCAATTAACACCCTGAAGGAGCCTTTCCTGCAGCCAGTCTCCTCTGAGGATGCCCTTTCCCCAGTCAGAGCCCTTGTGCTAATTCTCCCCAGTTCCTTGTCCTAACAATGATTAATGTGTCTGCCAAACTGGTGCTTATTGTCCAAAACCCCTCTGAGGCTCTGAAATAACTGAATATTCCATCACATATCACGACTTATCACTAAAGAAAAAACCCCCACTTTCCACAGATTTTAAACAGAGAAAGTACCACCAAGCACTTTTCTGGCCTGCTGGTGGTCCCTCCTCACCTCTTCCCTTGTCTCTTTCTTCCCCTCACTCCATCATCTCCAGCTCCCCCTCTGCCCCCAGTTACCCTCTCAGTCCTCTCTCCTCCTGTCTTCCTGCTCCCCTGTGCCTCTCTTTCCTCCCACCTGGATGAGAGCCTCGCTCTTTTCACCCTGCTCTCAGTCTGCCCCCTCTCCTCTCGCCAGCACCACTCTTGACCATCCTGGTCATGTGGATACAGAGTCTTCCGAGAGTATTAAAGGACTGGGGTGAAAACAGGGAGGGTCCACCCACTGCTCTTTGCTTTGGGGAGGGCCGCTGAGGGAAGGAGAGTGGTGGCTGGAGCCCTGGGTAACGCTGACCAGGTCCGTGGGAGTCCAAGTTCAAAGCTCTGGGGGAAGGCTGGGCCTCTCCCACTCGGCTCCCTCATAACCTTGGTGTCCTGCGAGTTAATTCTTTACCACCAAAAGTAAAATGACCCTGGCCAGGTGGCTCATTTGCTTGGAGCGTCTTCAGGTTCAATTTCCAGTCAGGGCACATAAATAGGTTGCAGGTTCGATCCCTGATCAGGGAGCATATGGAAGGCAACTGATCAATGTCTTGCTCTCACATTGATTTTTCTCTCTCCCTAAAAATCAATAAAAATATCCTTGAGTGGGGATTTTAAAAAATTATTTTAAAAAAAAGGAAAATGGAGGTCTTGACTAACTTCATTTTTTTTTTTCTGTATATTTTCCTTAAACATTTGTTATCTGCTACTTGCTAGCTAGCAAGAAACAGAGAGACTGGGTCCCCTGCAGTCCCCTCCCCCAGGACCCTGACTCCGTCTGCTCAGTTTCCATGCAGTCTGTCTCTGACCCCTATTGCTGCAACTGAAACCTAGCCTGGCCCCAGTGCACATGCCCCACTGATCCCTCCACCCTGCTCTGTGGGAGGTTCGTGGCCACACACACCAAGCCCTGCACCCTCGCTCCTCACCCAGCACCCCCTAAGGGTGGGTGGTTCTGCTGGGAAGCCAGGCTGCCCTTGAGCTCTCAGATGAAAGGGAAGAAACATGGATGCTGTGACCTGACTTCTGTCACCTTCTTCGTCTTCTTTCCACCTTCGGAATTCCTTCCTATCATCACTGATAGAACCTGGACAACACCTCCTGAGTTAGTTCGTCCCCGGTGCATGCAGGGATGCTGGGGGTGTCTGTCCCAAAGCAGGCAGGGTCCCTTGAGATGAGGTAGCACCCAAGTCGGCCTCCACTCACTCAGCCTGCAGCACCCACCAGTGGCTGCAGTTAGCACGGGTGTTTCTCAGCACAGTGGGCAAAGGGAACCATCACCTGGCACTTGTCAAAAAGCAGTGGGATGGTTTCTGAACGTCTGGGTCAAAGGATGGGTTTCAACTGCCTGGGAAATGCAGCAGGTTCTAGAAGGATGTCTGACAAGCTGAAGCCCACCCCACTCCTCAGGGCCTCACCCCGGGTCCAGCCAGCTGAGGCCGCTTCCAGCCTTTGCCAGCAAACTCTGTCCAAAGGGAGGGAAGAAGGGGTGTCGCTGCTGTGTCCCAAATCTGAATTCAGCATCCAAGAGCTGGTGAGGCTTGTGAAGGGAGCCTGGGCCAGAAGTCAGGCACTCTGGCTCCTAGTTCAAAGTTGGGGTGAGCCCCACTTCCAATATTTCCTTCTGTGGCTCTCCAGATTCCCTCGGGCAACACCAAGGCCTGGCCCAGCCTCACACCCACAGAAGGCCCACCCTGCCCTGCCAACCACTCACCATCCGCTTCATCTCCTTGGACACCTGGTTGCCGCCCAGGTGGTTGTAGAAGGGGCGCTCGGCCCCCCAATGGGGCGGGTTGTGCCCAATGGAGTTGGTCCTCTGGCGATTCATCTTGGCGATCATGGCCTTCTCGTCTTTCTGGGAGAGCAACACAGATGCATCAGCCTGTGGGCAGGGCCCACAAGATGAGCCCCAGAGTGGAGTTTCTCATGCTCCCAGGTGCCTGCCAGAAGCCCAGCGGTTAAGGCAGCTGCCTCTCTCTTCTCCGCACAGCCTGGAGCCCAGAAGTCTGTCAAGATCCTAGAGCTCACCCAAGAGAGCATCCTAATCCCTCCAAACTCCCCAAAGCTAGCCCTGTGAGAGTGGCAGAACAGGACAATGAGGTTGGTCTGCGGGGAAATAAATGGGCCTGGGAAGACCTGTCAATCATATGGAATCCTCAGGGGTGGGCAGAGCCTGGGCTCGTAGGTGTCCGGGGGTGATAAGAGGGAAAGGAAACCTGGGATTCCAGTCTCTACTCAGCTTATCCAAAATAGGTGGGTCCTAGCAGAGTGGGCAGTGGGACTGCTGCCCAGAAGCAGCTTCCTGAAGTTTGGGTCATTAGGATATGAGAGTCAAGGACTGACATGCATTGCACAATACACAAGCGGGAACTCAGCCAGACGCCCACATGCCAACCACAATCTCTTCTATCTTTCTGTCTATTCATCCATCCAAACAGGCTCCACTGAAGGTCTGGAGAGGCCCTGAAGAGACCTGAGGCAGCCTTCCCCCCAACGCCCTCCCTGGGCCTGGAGTGCACACAATTAGGGATTTGAGGGAAGGGGGATTCAGCTGACACTGCTGGGGGGCGTGTCACGCCTGCCTGTCTGTCTGTCTGTCTCCATTTCATCCTTTCTGGACCTCTTGTCAAGCTGGAAGAAAACCCAGGGTAGAGGGGCAGGCTGCTGGAGGTCTTGGGAACAGGTAGAGAGGAAGGAGGTGGGAGGAGGGCCTGCGAGGGCTCAGTTCATTTATACTCCAGTCAAACAAGCCAAAGTTTAAAAATGTGTCAATTAGCCACTAGGAGCTCTCCCCAAAGCGCCCGGCACCCTCCCTTCCTCTTCTTGTGTCTGCGAGGGGCCTGAGACCCCTGCTGACAGACCCGTGTCCTGCAGGTGCTGCTGAGGCAGGACAAGGTGCCCTCTGATGTCCCTCTCGGGGTGGGCACCTGCCCCAAAGAGCCCTGCCTCCCTTTAAAAACCTCCTTTTGCTCTCATCCAAGACTTTCTCTGAACTTTTCTCACAGCTTAATCTTGTATTTTAGTCTGATTTCTCAGGAAAGAAACAGGGAAGCTTTCCTCTATGGAAGGGCTCTGACCAACAGATAAATTCATCGGAAACATTCATAAGTAAGGGGCATTTTAATCTGGGGAGAAAAAAGGAAATGTTCTCGTCACTCACTTTAAAAATTAAGAACCTGGAACATAAGACTATTAAAAATAGAACGCTGAGTTCTGCTGATAATTCAGGGGTTTTTGTGTGTGTTTTTGGTAAATGTGGGCAGAGACAAAAGAAGGAAGAAGGGACTAGAAGAAAGGAAAAAGACAGAGGTTCAAGAAACAAAGATACACAAGCTCA